TTATACAGGGTGCCTTTGGGTACTTATAGATGGGTCTTAATATTGCAGATGGGTTTCAGAGATTGCAAACAGCCTCTTGGCAACAGTTGGGGTTTTTTTAACCATTGGATTTTTCATGGAAAGGGTAAATTAGGATTAAGGGAGTTAATCTCTAGCATTTAGATGAAGACAATGTCACGTGGACAATGTGAGAAACTTGCATGCCTGAGGAGTATCAATCCCACAATAATCTCACGTGCCTGGAAGCACCCTTTATCTCTGGATCAAAGCATTAGTAGCCTGTTACCTTGCATGGTGGTGGTTGTTTTCATTTTGTACATCGAAAATCGCTAAAATATATTTACAAAGAAGAAACAAGCATGCCAACACTTTGTAAAAGGAAGGAGGTCTGGAGGCTTCAACTAGGGTAGAACACAGTGACTACAGTAGGTTGCTTGTGGAGGCACACTACTAACAGCCTAGAATACCATTTTGTGGGATTTGCATTGGCTGCCAATCTGCTCTTGTGCCAAGCTCAGGGATTGGGTACTAAAATATAAGGCCCTATAGAGCTCAGGACCAAGTTGCTTGTAGGTTACTGGATTCCATAGGAGAGTTTCTCCTTGAAGTCCCCAAAATGCAGCAGGGCTTTCAGTGTGGCTGCCCCTGTTCCATGGAATAGTTTTCCTGCTGAGATGTCCCATGCTGTCTAGCGCTATCTGTATTTTCTGCAAACAAATAATTTTTTTGTTTCACCAAGCTTTTCCAGAATAATGGAAAGGTCCCTGCTTACTTTTTAAATCTATGGCAATTTGTTTTTGTATTTTTCACCATGATTTTTAGCTGTTTTATGATATGGCTGTAAATCATCTTGAGGCATATGTAAAAGATGATTCATAAATTTATTATAATAATAGAAGAGAGAAAATAGTGGGGAAGGAAGGCTAAATTATTTTTATCTTCAAAGATTTGGATACCCGCACATTTTTGCATATGAGAATAACTTTGATGATCAATCATTTTATTTGTATGTCACCTTTCCAAAGTTAAAACCATGCTCAAGGCAGCTTACAACATATAAAAACTACAAACCTAACAAAAGTAGTCACACACATATGTATTGTCCTACACATGCCTTTTCCATTATTTCCTGGAAAGGTCAAATGACTATGAAAACTTCCCTTGATGATTTATACAATGTGAATCAAATTTCTCTTTTTAAGCCCTACTTTGCTTGCAGTTAAGAAGTCTATTTGGACAGCAAAACAAAGCAGGCTATACAAAAATCACAACCAGTGGGAACTTCAATAAAAGGACAGATTAACAAGAGGCTTGGAAATAATTAAAAGTAGGTGTGCTTTTCCCTTCAGTACAGAATTTTATTAAACTTTTGTTGACATCTGATAAAATAAATGCAAGTAAAGCAAGCTGTTAATGTTAATTTGAAATGCTTGATTTTATCTTAAAAGTCCAAGAAGAAATTGGCTTTATTTTCTGATACCTTATATGATAAAAACCATTTTGCAGAGCTTACCTTAATGCAGAACAAATTAGTTAGTTATATTAGACGGGGGGAGGAATACTATTTAGTTTTTTTTAAAAAAAACAACCATTATTGTGTTGTTCTGTCTTCAGCAACCTTTTAAACCAACTTTTCAACTGTAGTGTGTGTCTAAAAGTAGAATCTTGTTGGCTGTAAATGAGAGAGATGGAGAAGGGCCTTTGTACTTCACAGAACACAAAAGGGTGAAGTATCTGAAAGCCCTGTATTTTATGCTTGGAATCTTCCGCAAACCCTGTTCAGGCATTCATTCAGTTTGGCTTCACTTGGCCTCATCCTTCTTTTAATTTTGCCTCAGCCGCAGCTTCTGAAGTGCCCTCAATGAGCTATATCAACTTAGGTCATAGGGTTCCCCAATAAAGTGAATGCAGCAAAGTTCATTAGTATTTCCCATGGAATTAGCATGTTGCCGGGCAGGGGCAAGTCTGCTGCCAAATACAAAAGCCCTGAAAAAGCCAGAAGTAAGAGAGCATTTACCTCAAGCATCTCAAGAGATGTTGGGGGTTGAACCTGAAACCTTTTACCTGCAGAATAGATGCTGTGCCACTCAGCTATGGGAGTGCTAAAGCTTTGCTCATGAGATGACATGACTACGACAATGCAGAGAATTGGTTTCCTGTAACATCTGGCCGACCCCAGCCACACCAAACAATAATAGTAGCACTTGCCATGTTTTGTGACTGAAAACTGCAGGTGTCCATTTCTCTGTGAAGTTGCAGTTCCCTCTGTAGTGAGTTTTTAAGCAGCTCCCTCACTGCAATTTATTGTCCAACATTCTAAAAATGGCAGTGGTATTTACACGGAGGCAAGGAGATGTTTCATTTGCTTGGTCATAATATTTCATTTCTGATCTTCCTATAATAAGGCAATAGAATCACTTCCTGTATTTTACCTGGTTGTGTGCATAATTTTGAAGAACAAAGCCAGCTGGGATATACTTTAAAGCCACAGTGACATTAATAACTCGGAGACATTTGTTGCTGTTCCTCTACGTCAAGTTAAATGTGTTTGGACCAAAAGTAATTACAGAAGAAGAAATATTTTGATCTTGGTGCATAAATTATTCCTAAAAAATGCACGGCTGGCTCTAATTCCCATGTTATAAGTTTCAGCTCCTGTTTATGGCTATTGTATAAATTGCTCTGAGACTGTGAAGGAAAATGTGGCATTTCAACAAATACTTAAACTTTTAATGAGACCCGTGTTTTGCAAGAAATCATAGCCACTTGCTGAACACCACCAAACATGGTATCAGTATCAGATTTCCACAAGCCTAGTTGTGGAGAGGAGAAAAAAACTACTTTCTAGAAGTATTATTGTTTACTATGGGTACTGCCATTGTTTTTAGGTTGTACCAATCCAATATAGTACAATTTCAATTTGATAGTTTTAAGATACGGTATGTCAGCTCAGCTGCTGCAAGAAAGGGAATTCAGTTTTAAAAACAAATTTCATTGCCTATGACAAATAAGTAGTATATTTTATTACTAAAATATTGTTTTACTTTATCTTTTTAAATCCAAAAGAGATATCCATTCTATATATGCTGGGGAGCTATTACACAAATCATACCTGTTCAATAGTTCATTTGGGAGATACACCATATGCAGTGGTGCCCCGCAAGACGAATGCCTCGCAAGACGGAAAACCCACTAGACGAAAGGGTTTTCTGTTTTTGAGCTGCTTCGCAAGACAATTTTCCCTATGGGCTTGCTTTTTTCCGATTTTTTTTTCCGCTCCCCCCCTTTTTCTAAGCTGCTAAGCCGCTAATAGCCTTTTAGCCGCTAAGCCGCTAATAGCCGCTAAACCGCTAACAGTGCTAATCCTCTAAGCCGCTAATAGGGTTGCTTCGCAAGACGAAAAAACCACTCGTCTTGTGACGAAGAGACTCGCGGAACGGATTACTTTCGTCTTGTGAGGCACTACTGTGCTTGACAAGTAGAGCACCTCAGGTTGAATCCTTGGCCCTCTAGTTAAAAGGATAAGATAAGTAAGAAGGCCTCTTTGCCTGAGACCTTGGAGAGCTACTGTTATAAGCAGACCTGGCATGGAAAGAGCTTTTAAGTGTTCTGCCTTGCTTGCTGGGCTAGGCCTGCTCAGTGTGGCTAGGAATGCTCATGCGAGATCTTGCGGGAACTGGCACAGCCCTGCAAGCTCTCTTGAGTATCCCAAATTCCACATAATGCATGGGCCTTGCTCCATAAGCAAGGTGGAGAGCTTTTAAGCTTACATTTAACAGGTGGTGTCACTGATTTCCAACAATACCTGCTTCCAGAGGACCTAGAGCAGCTTTTCAAGGAATGCAAAGGGCATTATCAGAAAGGAGCTAGAATAACTCTTTTGTATGAGAGGAACCCAGCCCAAGCATCTCTGGATCCAAGCCATCATTTGCTGTGCCAGAGCACATGCAGCAGAGTGCTATGGAACAGGGACAATTTTTGATAGAAGACTTATTCCCTCATAATCAAGGACATGTGGGAAACCCTTTTCACACCATACAGTTATCTGGAAAATGAATATTGGATGAGAGCGTAGACATATGAAAGATTCCCCCATAGGAGGGAAGTAACTTCTGTTTCTCTTGTTACCCATGGACACAAATGCATACTTATCTCTAGATGGCTGCAATGTCAATTGATGGCTCATATACGTGAAAAACCCCTTATAGAACAAATCCTTCTATATTGTATTGTGTTTTTAATATTTGATTGGGAGCCGCCCAGAGTGGCTGGGGAAACCCAGCCAGATGGGCGGGGTTTAAATAATAAATTATTATATATTATATACGAATGCACTTATGTGTTGTAGTATTAAATGTGTTGTAGTTCCTCTGGTCTTCTTCTTCTTCTTCACCTTGTTAGCACTTCATTGCTGTTCTCTAAACCTTCCATATAATAATATTCCTGGGGCTGTTATGGTGGTTGTTTTGTTCTATTGATATGGTATAATCAATGCTTTCATATTTATGTTCTTAAATGTCTTGTAAGTCACTTGGAGACCTCAGGGTAACAAGTGACTAATAACACAAGTAATAATAAATGATAAAAATGTATCACAAGCTCTTTGGGAACAGGCTGCTCCTCCTTTTCCTTGGCACCTGCAACATAAAATCCTTGGCATTAGGACAAACTATAAATCAGAAGAAAGGAAGATACCTTTTTTTTATTCCACCTTCCTCTTGCAGCCCCTTGTACCCCCTGAAAATCTGCTCTGGAGGGTTTGGGGAACACTCTGGAGCAGCATGAGAGGTGGTGCAGAAACTGCAGGCATGAGGGAATCAGTGTCAGTTGATTCCTGTATCCGGCAACCTCCATTGGATCTTGGCCTGAATGGAAAAAGCCATTCAATATGTGGAGCTGCAAGTCTGTATCTAATCACTTACATTTAAAAGGAAATACTGTAAAAACCACATTTTTGCCATAAGCAATAGCAAATGTATATTCCTTGTTGCCATCCTTAGGAAAAATGTCCAGTGATCGCGCTTTTAGGAAACAGCAACAGCTCAACAATATGGTGGCCTTAGTGAAAAAGCTGGCTAAACCTGGAGATAAAATTGTGGATTTTTGCAGTGGTGGGGTAATGTATTTATTTGTTTGTTTGTTTGTTTGTTTGTAATAAAGTTCAGTCGCAGTTGTTTTTGTATGTTTATAAGTGCAACAGCACAAGAGTCCAAAACTCTGGAATTTGATCTGCTTTCAAAGTCTCTGTCAATATTTTATTGGAATATTTTGTTGTCAAATGGATCAGCTCTTTGGGATCAAGGTTTATTTGTGCATTTTCTTCTGCTTTGAACAGGGCCATGTTGGAATTGTCCTTGCTCACGTACTTCCATCATGTCAGGTAAGGTTTCAGTAAAATGTAAATTCAGACTTTAATAACCTGGAATTTCAGATACACAATTAAAGACAGGCTGATGTAAAATATGTGAAAGTGATAGACTTATCTAAATCAAGCACCCACTCACTTTTTTTTCATGGTAGAATAAAGTACTTAATTTACCCGTTCTCATATTCTGAGTAAGATAAAGCACTGTTTCTCTCTCCCAGCAATAAAATTAGTATGACTGAAGGCAACTTTTAAAAAGTAAAAATAAAAGTAGCACAGGGAAATCCTCACACCAGCTCTCCAAACTCTCAAATAGACACTCTAAAACCTTTTTGCATGCAAAACATTTATTCTGCGACTAAGCTAAAGCCATTGTTTGAGAACATGAACTTAATTCTTCCATTTCAGTGCAGTTAAGCAGGATCCTACAAGCTGGGGGTGTGGCTTATGAGGAGAGGCTCCTGGTGGACAAGCAGGAGGTGGGGTTTGTGGCTTTCATTGTCTGACAGCCGCTTCCTTATTTTAGGTCCAATATAAAACCTTGCGGGACGCGGGTGGCGCTGTGGGTTAAACCACAGATCCTAGGACTTGCCAATCAGAAGGTCGGCGGTTTGAATCCCCGCAACAGGGTGAGCTCCCATTGCTCAGTCCCTGCTCCTGCCAACCTAGCAGTTCGAAAGCACCTCAAAGTGCAAGTAGATAAATAGGTACCGCTCTGGCGGGAAGGTAAACGGCATTTCTGTGCGCTGCTCTGGTTCGCCAGAAGCGGCTTAGTCATGCTGGCCACATGACCTGGAAGCTGTACGCCGGCTCCCTCGACCAATAAAGCGAGATGAGCACCGCAACCCCAGAGTCGGTCACGACTGGACCTAATGGTCAGGGGTCCCTTTACCTTTACCTTTATAAAACCTTGCATGAACTAATCTCAAACTGTGGCTAATTTGGGGTAGTTTTTCATTTTGGCTAAGTTGTTTTACAGACAACATTACTCCTTTCTGGGCTTAGTAACAGAGAAAACCATCAACAACCCCCCCCCCAAAAAAGAGTGAGCAATCCTATCACAGTTTAAACAAAACAAAACAAAAACTCAATTGGAAATCACAATCAAAAGCCCAGATTGGCAATCTGTGGTTTTTCCATTCTTCTAGAAGGATTTTATATGAGAAATGCCCTGATGCAGTTACTGGCTGATAGAGAAATGCCCAGATGCAGTTACTGGCTGATAAACTATAGAAGCGGGATTTGTATGCTTCCCTAAGGAGCAACACATCTCCATATTAAGTCTCAAGGAGATTTTCTCTGGGAAATTTGAGTCTATCATGTTCAGGCTTACAAGTGAACCTGAAAAAGTTGGCCCTCTTCCAAATGCTTGAAAAATGAATCAGAGAGGTCTGTTCACAGATACCTTTGGGAACTGTGTGTTAACTGGGTCCAATTGCCACAAATGTGTTTGAAGAAACTAGATGTGACAGGCACCATGTGTTTTAATTTGAAAAAAATGTAATTTTTGTAATTTTTTCCTTTGTAAGAGCAAAGCCTGGCTACATATAGGATAGTTGCCATATGCAATATAACTAAATGCTCCCAGCCTATGGTCTTCTGCAGAGTAGCACTTACTCACAAGATGGGATACTAGATTCTGCGCAGTACCAGAAGAAGATACCTTTTCTTTCTACCTTGATTAATTTATTTATAAAGCTATTTGTATACCTCTGTGTCCTAAAAAAACTCCCAAAGGAGTTTACAGCAACAAAACATAAAACCATACATTAAAAACCATAACAAGTTAAAAACAGACATCAAGTAACCAATGTGGAAGGATGTATTCTTAATTGCCTGCATAGGTGTAGAACAATATAAAAGTTTCTGGCATGCATTTAAAAGTTGGCGCACAAGTTGTCTGCTGAGTCTCTATTGGCAAAACCAGACTGTCCCTTTCACTGGGGCAGCAGCAGTCATAGATGTGTTGCTGCATCAATGTCAGGCTTGGAAGCCCCTCTGATAGGTTAGCAACATGGAGGTACTTTGCATTATGCTTTGAAAGCAGGCCGTACAATCTTTCACTAAGAAAGCAGTGAAGTTTGCTTGGCATGCACAAAATCCTGCGTAGTCTGGTTTGATTAAAGGATAGAGTCAAGTGAAGTCTGCTGTTATTAATGACTGGACAGATACATTTCTGTTTCAGAATACAACTCTCTCGCCTGCCCCTGCCATGCTATTGCAACAGTTTTTATTTCACCAAAAAGTTTACCATAACTAACTGTTATTTTGTGTAAAATATAGGTCATATTGGTAGAAAATAAAGAGTTGTCACTGGCACGTGCTGAAGAAAGAAGCAGTGTGCTAGGATTAGACAACATTTGGTTCATCCAAGCAAATATGGACTATTTTAAAGGAAATTTTAATATAGGGGTAAGTGATTTTCAAAATATTCAGACTTTGCTGTTATGTAATGTTAAAAAGAAAATACTGTCTTCATATATTGTCTTATCACTTATAACCTATTACTTAATATTATGTAACCTCAACTTATTTTTCTATAAACCCTTCTATTGTATAAACTTGGGTTAACGGGAAATCAGAAGTTAAGAGTTTTGAGCTATTGCTAATTTGTTGATTCCCAACGGTTGTGCTGTGCACAAAATAAGGAATTCAAGTGTCCTCCATGCTGCCTTATAAGGCCAAATGAACATACAAGTTCAGAAAACAACTGAAGTTAATTAGTACAGTACTGAAATGGTGACATAGCAAAGAGGAGGCAGGAGGATTTTATTTTATCTTATTACAAGCAAATAGTAATAATGGAGCATTGAAGTTAGCTCTTGGAAGAGTGCGTTTAAAACCAGAACATAATTAGCTCTGTGAAATGTCAGCTTCCAATAATTATTACATTGTTCAACACAAAGAAGTATGAAATGTCAGTAGAGATGATTTCTTAATAGTATAGTGACAGGAATAGTTGATACAAGTTCAGTTGATACACAAGGAGGCAAGAAGATACTAAGAGATGATGCAGACATAAGGCAGTCTGGTTCTTAAACATGCTTAAGGCTGTAATACAGTGGAGAGAAACTTTTTCCAGCACAAGGGTGGTGTTTCCTTCTTGGCAGCCTCTTAGGGTCACATGCCAAAGATGGGCAGGGCCTGAAGCAAAAGTGGATAGAACAATGAATGTACAGTCATACCTCATGTTACATTTGCTTCATGTTACGTTTTTCAGGTTGCGTCCTGCGGCGACCCAGAAGTACTGGAAAGGGTTACTTCTGGGTTTCGCCACTCGTGCATGCGTAGTAGTGCTAAATCATGCTTTGCGCACAAGCGCCAAATTGCGCTGCACACCTGTGCAGATACTGCACTTCAGGTTGCGGGCTTTTCACATTGCGAACAGGCCTCTGGAATGGATCCCATTCGCAACCAGAGGTACCACTGTAAATGTTACCTTTCAAACACACACACACACACACACCACTCACCAGCCCAGGCATAGGCAAATTCGGCCCTCCAGATGTTTTGGGACTACAGTTCCCATCATCCCTGACCATTGGTCCTGTTAGCTAGGGATCATGGGAGTTGTAGTCCCAAAACATCTGGAAGGCCGAGTTTGCCTATGCCTGCTCTAGCCTCTATCCAGGCAAGCAAGAGTCCTGGTCAGAGTTCAAGGGCAAATTCCAGCCAGGCAAAAACACTCAAGGGGCATATAAAGCAAAGCCAGTGAAGTGGTTGGCCGAGAGAGAGAGAGCGGCTAGGGAGAGTCCCAAGAACCAAACAGAGGCCTAGAGTACCACATTTGGCCCTCAGGCCTGAGTTTCCCCTCCCTATTGAACTCAGTGGGACTTCCTTCTGAGTTAGTCCTGTTACGCATTGAGAACATCTGTGGCAGAGATGGGGATCCCTTAAGCCTCCAAGTGTTGTTGAACTCCAATGACCATCAGCCCCAGACAGCATGGCCAATGTTCAGGGATGATGGGAGTTGTACTCCAGCAACATTTGAAGGGCCATGGTTTCTTCCCCATTCGTGGTCTGTTTGCTTTCAGATCTTGGCTAAGTTCAAACTGTTAAATATTACCCCACAGACAAGACTGTCGGGGAAAGACTAGACGATTTGTACTCCAGAAGGGAGGAGCTAAAAGGAGAGGAAATCGCATACTTAAGGGCTGGGCTGCATTAAGCATCCTCTGGCCCAAAGGATTAGCCGATGTGAAAAAGAGCTATCACTGCAATCCTGTATATGTCTACTCAGAAGTAAGTTCATAAGTAAGCTCTACTGAAAAGCCTAACAGAAAACGAAATGATAGTACAGTTAGGACAGAGAGAACTGTGACATAAAAGATGGGAATTAAAAACACAAATCTGGATTGGATGAGGTGCCACACAAACCAATTGTAGAATCAGAGAAGGGATGCTTATAAATTTAGTTGTTCTTATCAGCAGATGGTGTTAAAAAGGTACATGACCCATATCAGCTGAACACCTTCGTTATACAGTCATATTTGAGCCGGAAATGACTTTGGGCGTGGGGCATTGAAATAATTATTGCTGCTGTATGCATAATTTGAATATTGCCAAGTATGAAATATTTACTTAAATATCTTCTTGCAATGTAATCTGTAATCTGTCATAGCAGTGCTGCAGAGTCTAGACTCTCAACTAGTCTTTAAAAAACCACAACCACAGTATCTTCAGTTCATCAACCAAACCCAAACATTTTTTAAGCACTATGTAGTTATCATGCTTATAGAACTATCTGTGACTGAAGCTGTCATCTCAGGTGACTGAGAGTAGACCTGGCAGGAAGCATTTCGGTTTGTTTTGAAACCTATGCCAGAACACTGTCAAATTTCAGCTATCTCCATGTTCAGCATAATCAGCCATGATTCATTTTGGAGCTCTATGAATGAAATGCATAAGTAATACTGGAACATTCCTTTACCTATGAACCTTTCTGGGCAATTTTAACGCATTGTTTGATTAATATCTGAGGCCTGCAGTTTTTGTTCTTATCTGGAAAAGAAATGGCATCTGGCCCTATATGGTGATTAGAACTGTCAAAAAACCTTGGGTTGAGACCTTTATGTATCGTGCCAGATTTTAACTTTACAATGTTGTTGCACTAGTTCGTTTTGGATTAGTATTGTATTTTATATCTACTGACAAAAGTGAATATATTTTATTGAGCTAGCTACATTTTGTCTCAACGTAAGCAAAGAAAATAATGTATTATCTGGCTAAAAAGAGATTGATTTTGCAACACATTGCTCTCTTTCTTTGATGTTGCAATAATTCAGCCATCCAGAAATGGCTGAATAGTAACTGAATGCACAGTTATCATTAAATTCCATTGTTTTTCTTTCACAGGTAGCACTGCATGCTTGTGGTGTGGCAACAGACATGGTGATTGAACGCTGTGTCAAAGCTCATGCAGCATTTGTTATCTCTCCATGTTGTTATGGCTTCATTCAGAACACAGCCAAGTTTGCATTTCCACAAAGGTCAGTGGTTTGTTGACATCAATGTGTATGTATGGAGAGGAACCTGGATTGACATGTATGGCATTGACTACAAAGGCCTACAGTTCTATACGAACTTACTAGTGAGTAAGTTCTGTTGAGCTTAGTGGGTGGTTTCCCCAAAAGAGCTTCTGCTAGCGCAAAAAATAAATAAATCTGTTTGCACAATGAAACTTCCCCTCCTTCTCCTCTCGCCATGCACCCCTGTGCCCTCCTTAGATCTGCTCCAGAGGGTTGGGGGAAAATCCAAAAGAGATGTAGGTGGTGCAGGCAACACACAGGCAGAAGAGTGGGATAGGGAGCTTCATTGCAGCCCAAAGTCCTTGTGCTAGCAAACTACTTTGTTGGAGTTTACTTTTGAGAAAACTTGCAAAGGATTGCATAGGTAGTGAATGTGTTGGCCCCACAGAACAAGAAAAATACCCAAGTCCAACAATACCTTTATTTTTAACACCTTAGTTAAAGTGCTAGAAGACAGATGTTAAGTGATGTGAAGCTCCACCTCAGGCTCAGATATTTAGAAGAAGACATGAAAATAGGTTGGTTGTGTTGCCTCTGTTTAAGGGGAACAGGTAGTCCCAAAGGTGAGTTACATCCTGCTCATTGCCACAACGGCTGAATGTGTCACCTACAGCTATGACTTCATAATTCTAGCTGTAAAGATACATTTCTAACTGTTCTACAAATTACCAGTGACATTTCTGAAATGGAAGTTAGTAGCAGCTATAAAGAATACATAATACATGCCTGCAATAAAGAGCTCTCTCAGTATGCTTGCGTCACATTATGTTTATCGTTTTGTTCAGAGGCTTAATTAGCCCTGCCTAATCATCCATGCACACATTATTTTTAACATTTATTACACCCACAGTTGTAAACCTTGGTTCTTTTAAATAAAGTCATTGATCTATAATATAAGAAACTTCTACAATGCAAATCCCATGATGCTTTCTGAGAAATAAGTCTCAGTGGGGCTCAGTGAGGATTGCAGCCGTGATGCGCCTATGAAAGGACCACAGAACATAGTAGAGGTCAAGTAGTGCTTCAGGTGCAAGAATTCTGATTGCCTGATCATATACCTTTTCATACAGTCATCTTATTTTTATTGGATTGAAAACAGTCCTTTCACTTTCCAGTTGTGATCTCTTGACTTTTGTGATTCACTAGAGTACACGATATTGTGCAGAGAAGGAAATTAAACTGCATGTCTCTGTTTCATTCTTTATTATAACAATTCTCAGTTGTTGGTACAACACCAGTGGCAGACAATCTGCAAAGAAACCTTTTATCTGCTACATTTTTCTCTGTGCAGTTTCAAAGATAGCCCTATGTGGAACCAGTTCATGTGGATGTAGCTGTGGCACAGCCATCTTTCTCCAGGAACAAGTGCACCGGGCCCACAAACATGTGCAGCAAACCTGGCTACAGCCACCATCTGACTAGTTTAGCAGCAATGCTATTATGTCCAAAAGTACTCCCGAGTTTCAAACCTGATTCTAAAAAGGGTGTATAATGCCAACCAATGCAGACTGAACATCGAATCCATCATCAGCCCTATGTAGGATAAATATATTAAAAGTCAGATGCTTGCTTTCAGTGAGTCAGTAGCAGTGACATGATACAGCCCTATGCATTTGTTTAGCACTTAAAATATCTTAAATGATAAATGTCTGTAAGTGATAAAACTTGGCACATTATAGGCATTTACTAAAAAAGAACAGAAACTCTCAGTAGTGTCTGCTTCTGGATCTTGTTCAACTTCCAGATAACAACCCACCCAAGTATTTGTTTAAAATTCAGCCATATGCCTTAAAGACTGCATCTATTTTAAAATCGTCGTTTCTCATGGTGATCAAATCCATCTTCTTTTCTATTTCAGCCGTCAGTTCAAGGAAGTGTTATCCTATAAGGTATGCAAAAGGTGAAGCTGTGGTTTAGAATTTCTTTCTGTGCCCTTTTCTGTGTCTTTCCGTATGGTTTGAGTGGAATGAGTAATTCTCTTTTAATGATAGGGTTAAAAACACATCAGAATACTGAAACTTCACCATTGCATTCCATGTGTTCCTTCCTCTTTTTTCTTTTAGTGCAGGAAAAAGACATTTCGTAAATACAGTATGGAATACATTTCTGTGTGTAGTTTAGGTTATATCTCATTTTTTAGTTTCAATAATTTCTAAAAGTAGATGACAAGATCATTAAAAAAATTAAAACAACTATTTATTAGTTAAAACATAAAACCATGAAAAGAACAATGATAAAACAACTGAATTGTTTCACTATAAAAGAACCATATTCATCCATCAAGTATACATAGATGTCAAGAACCTGTTGAGCCTTCTAGGAGTACTTTCTTCCTAGTCTGCTCCACTGAATATTTTGGATAGGCCTGAAGTCTTTTGTGTGCATTTTTATGCCAGTTTCCCATTTTTTAACCGTTTTCCTTCTTTATGGCTGCTATTTCCCCATTTCATTTGATTTTCTTCTATCCAGATTCAATTTGGACAGTGATGGCTTGAAATTGCTTTATTTTTCTCCCAATTGTATTTGAGATGTAGTTTTCGTAGTGAACAGCATGTGAACTAATAACCACATTTTCATAAGATGGGAGGCTGAATTGCTTTTGGCACAAGTAAGCCTAGTGACATAGTTACAGAAACAAAGAGTTTAAATAAAATAAGTAAAAATAAATTTTCATAATAATTCCTGCCAATTTGTTATGGACATATAGATGAAGCTCATGACCCACAATGAATGTTCCATTCATTTCAGCAGAAGCAAGCACTTCATGTGTGGAATGTTTCTTTCTATTGAAACTTGCTCCAAAATGTAGAAGATAACCATGTATTTTTCAGCTCACACAGATATGCTTTGAGAGCTATGTTCTGCCTTCTTTCTGGCTTGTTGAAAACCATATTTTACTTTAATGCCTTATTTGGCTAGAAAATATGACATATTCATTTGAAAAATAACTTAAATATTATTTGTAGTATATGCAGGCAGGATTTAAGTTTGATGAGGCCCTAAGCTACTGAAGGTAATGGGGCCCTTTATATGTCCAGCTGTCCTTTGTCAACAACCAATTGTCACTGGGTTTTTTGTGTGTTGAATATGTGCTATATGGTAATTTATGAACCTAATAGGTATCTAAAGCCATTTGCACATAACAAATAGGAGCCCACACAACACAAAACACTGTTGCTGTATGTAGGTTTTATTTTATTTGTTTTTTATCTTATATTTTGGAAATGTACGTCCAGTTATTTTTTTCTTTACATTTTTTGGGGGGCCCCAAGAGAGTGGGGCCCTAAGCTATAGCTTGTTTAGCTCATATATAAATCTGGCACTGAGTATATGCATCTTTAACTTTGTCTAAGACCATCACATAGTTCACTGGAAAATAATAGTTGATACATTTTCCATTGCATTACATTTCCAACCTTCACATAAATTTTGAAAAGACTGTATTTTATGAGAAAAATTAATGCAACCTTTTAAATAGAACATAACAGATATGAAATCTCCACAGGTTCTAAGAAGCATATTGTTTTAATAAATTTGTATCAGTTGATTTTTTTAAAGAAGAAAACTTGTGCTAAGAAGCCCCTCTAAAATCAGTATTGTATTATTAACATGGATCTAGACCAGATGGTATATCAGTTCAGTGTATAAATTTATATTTTTTGGTTCTGTAGGCTTTATATAATATACAACTTTGCATATTGGATTGATATATTTTCAGTTACTGATGTGTTGCCAAAAGTTGGAATGTGGTGGCTAGACACTGTGTCACTGTCTCCATAGTTCATCTTAATTTTCTGTTTCCTTTCACTGGGAAATTCAAGGATTAGTGTCAAGTAAAACCAAAGCGTTATTATAGAGACTTGATGATTCCCACCCACCCCATTCAAAATGGCAACTGTGGCATCCCACAGTGAAGACTCAACTCATTGCTGACTTTTTAGAACAATTTGTAGCAAGTTCTCTTTTCTCATGGGAAATAGTATACATACATTTCAGTTTGAAACTGACTATTCAGTTTGAAACCTATTAGGGCTGAACACACATAATGGGAAACAGCCTTTAAAGGAAAAAGAATTTGGCCAGGGTGATTTTCATTGGACAAGCAATGGCGCATATGAGAGGATGCTTAACCCATACCTTGCCTGCCATTTTCCCACTTTTCCCTCTCCTGAAGCTGAATATTGCATATCTTGCGTTCTACAGCTCCCCAGAAGTTAGCTGTCCCAAATAACTTGTTGGTGTTGTTTTGTCAAGGTACAGGAATAGCACCCTTCCCATAGTTTCTAAAAATATTCTCTGTTAAACAAAAAGACTATTTTATTTTTAAATCCTGATAACTCTGCATATTTTCAGCATTCCTGTTTCCTTCTTAATTTATTTAATTGGATTTTAGCCATCTTAGGCATTTCTTATAGAAAGTTGGGGTTAAAAATGCAATAAATAAATATTTCATCAGGACAATTATTACATAGCAAAAACAAAGACTATAATATCCAACCATAATTTGGAAACCTAAAAATTCAAGAAGTCCTGCAAAATTAAAATCCCTGTTGTTTTAAAAAAGCAGAATGGGAGGATTTGTCATTTGTAAATGGTATTACCTAAATTCCTTCCAAAAGTGTTTTGTGTTCTCACATACTTATCTCCATCTAACATTACAAACAGCTCTGTCAAGATATACAGCTCTGAAATGGTTCTGATTGCTGTGACTTGCACTTGAAATTGCAGCTGTCCAAGCTAGTGCAGCTGTCAGCCAAAGCACTGTTATGGCATTTTTCTTTCCTTTTGCATCCCCCCCCCCGGTCAAAAGCATAATCACCTCTAAGGTCTAGTGTGTGTAAAAGTATATTATAAACCATGTCACTGTGGGTCATAAGATGTGATCAACGTAACCTAATTGTGGTTCACCAGGTGGGATTGATAGATTTTGTAGCCTAATTCTATCATCTGCTGTACAAAGGAAAACAAAAAAGCCTGGGTACAAGAACTCTTTGGGCACTGCAGTGTTGTGAGTCTGGTGTTGTGCCACAGTAGCAAAACACTGGGAACATAATATGATCCTTGCTGGATTAATCTAAAGACCCATCTAGTCCAGCATCCTTATTTCATAGAGACTGACCAGATGCCTATGGGAAGCTTGCAAGCAGAACAGAAGTCTCTCCTCGCTTGTTGGTGTTCAGAGGCACAGACAGAACATAGCCATCATGGTTCAAAGCCTTATCCTCCACAAGACTGTCCAAGTTGTTGACCACTACTATAATTAATGGAAGTGAATTTCATAGTTTAACTATGTGCTGCATGAAGAAGTACTTTCTTTGCCTGTTTCCCATCTCGCCTATGTTGGTGAAGCTGCATGGTACAAAGCTTCCACGGGCCAGACGTGATATAGATGCTTAAGGATCTAACTACAGTGTTGAAAGAGTCCACACAGGTCATACCAGGCCATCGTAGGCTAATTTGAATGCTTCAGTTTATACCCTCTACTAGCATCCCTTTCATTGTGTCCAAATCCAATGTCATGCCAGAAGGACCTGTTCTGAATAATATTGCATAGCAAAACAGGCAACTCCAGTCGATATTGGGGGCTTCAGATGTACACAGTCTCCCAGTATGTGCTACTATGGTAGCTAGTTTGGAATAACGTAATGGAAGAAGCTGGCAATATTTATCTCTCTGTGTGTTTTTTCTATTCTAGGAGCACATGATTCTTTGCCGATTTGCTGATCAGACAGCTGCCCAGCTTCCCCCTGAACGCAGGCAAATAGGTACGCTTTTCCATAGAACAGCTGTTGTGTAGATTACATACACTCTACTTGGTGATGTACTTAGCTTACTATATATGGGTTGCCGTGCCATGCTTATCAACAAGGAATGAAAGTGCTGGTTTCTCAGAACACACAGGGAGGTGTATTTAGAGATACAGCGAAATAGTTTTCTTTGTTGAAGCTCAGTTTAAATCTGGGGTTGAAAGTATCACACAGTGATACAGTGAACATTCATCTGTTACTTACAGTCCAATAAAGGAGGTGATATAATTTGAGAAACATGCTTATGTTTTTTCTGATGCCACTGGGAGCTAGTAACAGTGCAAGGGAGCTACTATAGTGCAAGAGCTGGAAATTACCGTTCAAATCTCACATCAGCCACGAACTAAATAAATGGCCTTAGGTAAGCCCAGTACTCTAGCAGCCTTAGTCTGGGGAACTTTAAAAAGCATGATAGAAATACAGTGGTACCTCGGTTTAAGAACAGTCCGGTTGAAGAACGATTTCGTTTACAAACTCCGCAAAACTGGAAATAGTGTCCCGGTTTGAGAACTTTACCTCGGTCTAAGAACGAAACCCTAACGGTGGAAGGGCATTGGCGGCAGGAGGCCTCATTATGGAAAGTGCGCCTCAGTTTAAGAATGGTTTCGGTTTAAGAACGGACTTCCAGAACAGAATAAGTTTGTAAACCGAGGTACCACTGTATTTGAAACAAAATAAATAGAATCTGAAAAGGGTGGTGGCTTTTATGAAAGTTTTCTACCTTTTTATGAAAGTGTCCCTCTTGCCAAAAAAAGGACAGTAACAAGGACGCATTTGCAAAGGATGGCAATAGATCTAAAACAGGAAGAGTAGCTGGCTGGGATCCACACAACTGCATAGCTAGTTCCATATGCCGAAGGAAGCTTTGAGCTTGTGTTTCTCTTTTACAGCTGTTCAAATGTCTTCAGAATATGTAAGATTGCATAGGGTGAGCTGATATTCTAGGGATTCCCCTGGGAGTTTTACTTGATGGCAAAGCTCTTTTATTTTCAGCACCAGATAAAGGTCTTTTAAAAACATGGTCAGGCACTTTAGATCCTTTTGTTTTTATGCTGTTTTCTTAGACTCAATGGCTTCTCTGCCTTTTTAATCAGTTCTACTAATTTGTTAGTGTTTTTTATATTAGAGTTATGTTTTCTTGCAAGGTACTCTGGGAAATTTGTTGGCTCGTAAATGGGGCATTGATTTTCAAAAAATAAAGACAAGGTGTTTGGGATAAATAGACAGAACAGGGTTCGATACTGTTGCATGTTTTGGATACAAAATTCACTCCCAATGCATAACAGGCAGTAAGAAGAAACAATGTCTATGCATCTAAACCATGGGTAGCCAAACTAAGGCCCGGGGGCTGGATCTGGCCCAATCGCCTTCTAAATCCGGCCCGCAGACAGTCCGAGAATCAGCGTGTTTTTACATGAATAGAACGTGTCCTTTTATTTAAATTGCATCTCTGGGTTATTTGTGGGGCATAGGAATTCCTTCTTCCCCCCAAAAAAATATAGTCCTGCCCCCCACAAGGTCGGAGGAACAGTGGGCCCTGCTGGAAAAGTTTGCTGACCCCTGATCTAAACACTTCTGTGGTGGCTAAGAGTACAACAGGAAGCATTGAGGACTTGAGATAATCTTACCTATTTTTTCACAAAAACTGGCAAAACTTTAAAGCCACTCCTGTATCTGGAAAGGAAAACGTGCTGACAAGGTCACAGCTGTGAGTTCAAGAGGTGCCACTCCGCCAAATGGGAGTGGGCATTTCTTCCAGCCCTTTGGTGATATGGGAAGGAAATGTATCACTTAATGAAGGGTGGAGTGGATGGCTGTAAATGAATCACAGAGTGTCAACTCAGCATTTCAGGTAAATTTGATGTTGTGACACTATAGTACTTCTACCCCCCCTTTCAAAGATAAAGTAGGGAGAGCAGACTTTTGTGAACCACAAAAACGATCTCTCACTGGCATTTTTGTTCTTCTCCTTGTTTCTTCTGAAGATATACTTGACATCAGGCTTATTCGCTCCATTAAAAGAATCTCTTCCATTTCAGTCATCTTTCTTCACCTTTTAAACTTGCTAATGGGCGTGTGGTTGGTGAGGATTAAGTTTTGTTTTCAAATGACTAGGGTAAAGGTCAGATCAGATCAGCGCTAACCACATGCTCTGTTAGAGGCAGAATCAGATAGTGAGATTCTACATAAGGTGTACTGTTTAGCTTGCAATTCTGAACATGCTTACTTGGGAGTAAACCTCATTGAATCCAGTGGTGCTTCTTTCTGAAAAAAGACACACAGGGTTGCATAGTTAAAATGGTCACCACCACCATTGCTTCGTTTATTATAAAGATGATTGTTTTTGCATTAATGTTCCAAACCCAAAATGAAACAATACAAAACAATCCAACAAAAATATCTTTTCTACCACTGCACCGCCACTCATTCCTTGCCAGTAATCATGTAAAAATAACTTGCAGCACAATCCTGTGTGTTTCTGCTTGCTGAATTCAATGGGGCTTACTCCCAGGCAAGTGGGTATAGGATTCCAGTATTAGATGGTAAGATGGTACAATCTACCTACATAATAAGTTGCAGATATATGCTGTCATGTGTAACAAGTCCACTTTAAACAAATGCAGAATCAGGACATTTAAAAATTCAATTCTATTATCTTAAGGGAGGTGGCATATTTAATTTTTTCTTTCATATTTCAGAGTTCTTCAGTAACTCAGCATGCTTATTTTATCCATAATATAATGGGATACTTTGTATTCATATTGTATCCAACATTCTGGAATTAAATGTTAACAATGTATTATTTTAAAATGTAAAAATAAAATTTGAAAATATTTTAAAATAGTCAAATGTTCAACAACAGCAACAGTGCATATTATCAGCAAGAATATTAATTAGCAACAATATTACAAAACGTTCCTGCAATTAAATATGAGTGCTGTAGTCAATATTGTCCACTCTGGCTAGCATCAGTTGTGTCATTTTTAACTGGTAATGCCAGGGATGAATCCATGGACTTCTGCATGTCTTCTAACACTGAGCCCCCATAAAAACACACATCTTTCATTTATCATAACTTAGTATGCAAACATCAGCCCTTAATCCGTCTCACTTGGTCACACATCTTTCTACTCTAAATATTATAAAGCAGGTGGGGGGAACCTTTGGCCCTCTAGAAGTGGCTGAACTACAACTCCCATAAGCCCCAGTAGGCATGGCCAATGTCCAGGAATGATGAGAGTTGTCGTTCCTCAACATTTGTTGTTGTTTAGTCATTTAGTCATGTCTGACTCTTCATGACCCCATGGACCAGAGCACGCCAGGCACTCCTGTCTTCCACTGCCTCCTGCAGTTTGGTCAAACACATGCTGGTAGCTTCGAGAACACTGTCCAACCATCTTGTCCTCTGTCGTCGTCTTCTCCTTGTGCCCTCCGTCTTTCCCAACATCAGGGTCTTTTCCAGGGAGTCTTCTCTTCTCATGAGGTGGCCAAAGTATTGGAGCCTCAGCTTCACGATCTGTTCTTCCAGTGAGCACTCAGGCTGATTTCCTTAAGAATGGATAGGTTTGATCTTCTTGCAGTCCATGGGGCTCTCAAGAGTCTCCTCCAGCACCATAATTCAAAAGCATCAATTCTTCGGCGATCAGCCTTCTTTATGGTCCAGCTCTCACTTCCATACATCACTACTGGGAAAACCATGGCTTTAACTATACGGACCTTTGTTGGCAAGGTGATGTTCCTCAACATAAGGAGGGCCAAATGTTCCCTACACCTGCTATAAAGAGACATTTCAGCTGTATTAGAAATAACCAGATTAGGAAATTATCCCAAGTTGCATTAATAAGCAAAACAAAGGTCTGAGACACTGCAAAATATATACTGGCACCACGACTGTTAATGACTGATACTGAAATGACCGTATTCACTATTGTTACAATTGATGCTAGGATACCTGTTTTCATCAGTGGGTGTTGATGCTGAAATGTACATTTGCATTTGTAGTATTACAATAATTATGAGAAAGTGTATATGTTATTTGTTCTTATTTTTAGGTAAACACTGCATGGGACTGGTGGATCTGGACCGGGCTTGGGCAGTGGAAAAATGCAACTACTCTGCGCAAGTGATATCAATGGAACCAGAGACATGTTCCCCAAAGAACAACTTGATAGTGGGTGTCCCAATTTAGTTCAAAGGGCTTTTCTGATCAATTTGAATTAATAATCACTCCTTGTGATCAAAGTCCAGTAACATTTTGGAGATACAAACTGCAGCTGTGAAGCAGACAGTGCACATCTTGAATCCATTGTCTCCAAAATAAGGAAGCCGAGAGGAAAGGGGTTGGCAGTGGGGCTGCTTGCAAAGCTTCCTAAATCCTCCTTGAAATGTGCGATTAAATGACAGCTGGTTCTCAGAGCAGGAATATCCCAAAATGTCCATCTGCCCCCACAGTAATACCAATAAAGGTTTTTTTTTTAAAAAAAAAAAAAAGCTTCATCACTGGCAAGGTGATTTCATTTCCTTTTCTATGAAGATAGATCTTGCATGTTCGAAAACAGATTTTGCAAGTATTTTTGTACTCAGACTTTGACTATACTAACAAGGGTACCCAACTCTCATCATTAAAATCTAGTAACATGCTTATTCTGCAACCATGCTAAGAATGTGGACAATAAAGGTTTTTCTTCTTCTCCCATAACACTGGGAGACACTCAGTGAGTTAGAATGTTGGAAGATTCAGAACAGACAAAAGAAAGTACTTTTTCATGCAGCACTTGGGGCTTATCCACAATTCCTCTAGTCTTGCTGCTTTCATCTGGAGAAAACCACTCTTTAGCTTTCAGTTGGAGCAAACCGGCAATTCAGGTTTTCTCTGGACTGATGTTTGCTCCGATTTAGAGCTAAAGAGTGGGTTTTCCTTGGGAAATGAGTGAGGCAAGGGGGGGTGGGCGGAATGTTTGGACCACTCAAACCTCTGCTTTCTAGGCACAAAACAAGCAGAAGTGTGGACAATTCACTCCCACAAGAGGCAGTAACGGCCACCAACTTGGATGGTTTTAAAAGAAGATTAGACAAATTCATGGAGGATACGTCTTGTCATTGGTTACTGCCCATTATGGCTTTGCTCATAGTCAGAGACAGTATGCTTCTGAGAACAGAATACTGGACTTGATGGGCCTGAGCCAGCAGGCTCTTCTCATGATCTTATGCCAACTTGCCACAACAGCAATTTAGAGAACTTTCTCCGACTTAATTAACTGTAGAACTCATTAAGGAGCATAACCCTTGGTTGAGCTTTATAGTTTCCTTTTGTCTTTTCATTTTCCATTTCCATTGCCACAGCACCTTCCAAGCCCATTCTGCATTTGGAAGCACCTACACTTTGGAACTCCCTGCCTATTGATATCAAGCAGGCAGTTTCACTGTACTCTCTTTGGTGCCTGCTAAAAACATTCTTGTTTAGACAAGCCTACCCAGATGCTTAGAAAGTTGAGGTAATTTTAATCTGTTTTAGTATTTTAACTTTTGTGTTCTTTAAGTATTGTTGTAAATTTTTCTTGATTTTTATTGCTTTACTTTTTTGTAAATTACTTTCAGGTGTGTTTTTTTTAACAAAAGTGGGGCATAAATTTTATGAAATAAATTAATAAATAAGCAGTGCTGTGGTTGTGCAGTAAAAGTATTTATTTGTGAATGATTCATCTGTTGCTTTTTTGTATATAGGCAAGGAACATAAAGGCAACACCTGTATGCATTTTCTTAAATTTATTAAACAAGCCTATAGAAATCACACTTCATTTTAAGGACTTCTCACCATCTAATGAGATATTTTGCTTCTTCATCTGATATTTTGCTTCTTCTTTTTGCACAGTTTTTAGTAATGCACAGAAGATGGTGGCTGTTTTTGCTATAACATTTCAGCATGTTATTTCCTACCAGGTTTCTGTTGTGCTTGCTGTCTTTAATCTCAGCAATTTTCAATTCACTGTTGTGTTTCTGAGATATAAATGCATGTCCAATGCACATTATTGTTGGTTTTAAATTTTTAATCCTGCTGGATCAACCCACAAAAAAATCAACCCACAAAAAAATAATATTCATGATCAAGTTATCTGGTAGATGTTTTCAGAGCAGAGAATGCGCAATTGGTTTTCCCCCTTGGGCAGCACAGTTTCTGGACAGAGGAGTCCTCTTAGTATTAGAATTACTTCACTTCTAGTTAATTGTCTGACCTTACTTTTCCAAGTAATTCTTCACACAATCGTTTGTAAGCATTGCAAGATGTAAAGTACAAAGGGTTCTTTGAATACCAGATCTTGCAAACTATGCAAATATGAAGGGGGTCTTTGAATATCAGATTTTTAAGGGATATGGGAAATGGCCAAGGAGCATCAAAGAATGCCCTGTTGCTAGTTCCTTAATATGTGGAGGCACAAATGTGAGCAGTGAAATCTTGGAGCTCCTGTGTCCTGGCACTCACACTTTGCAATTCTTTTCCCAGGAAGGTTCTCTTACCCACCACACTGGGCATCTTCAGCAAATTAGCAAAACATTTGCTTTTTAAGAAAGCAATTTGCTTCTATTATCCTTGGATGATAAAGTGTTCTGTCTACAGTTATAAAATATTAGCATTCTCAATGTTGCTCCACTTCATTTGTTTAGATGTTGCATGCTTTAATGCCCCCTGCCATGTGTATGACGTAAGAGGAAGGAAAAACATAGTAAGCCACTGAAGGAGCCTTTGCTTGGACTAAGTATACCAGAGTAAAACTGACAAAATACATATAAGCAAAATCAAATGTCCTCCACACTCTCAGAGGTGTTTCATCAGAGGAAATGGATCAAAACTATAGTAAACAAGCCATGTTCATAGCACTCTGTTCATAACCAAATCCTTATCTGGAAAAGTGGAGATAAGAATTTCTGTATTTAATGGATGACTACGGCAGAGCGGAACACAGCAGCACTTATTTAGTATGTTTTTAAGCCCTCTTATGACGTATGTTGCATATAATGTGACAGAGTGGGGAAACTAACCTGGCAGTGAAAATATGGAGCAAATAGTCATTGGTTTAAAGCCAAACTAGACATCACATGGCAGATGTGAGTAACAATCTCCCAACTATTTTTATTATTATTATTATCCTTAAAGGAAAGGCGGGGACAGGAAGCGACAGTCTTAAGTGGAGGAATGGTGAAAGCGAGCCTGCTTAAACCTTCCCCTTCAGTTGGTTTTCAGTTCAACACACACAGCCCAACACAATTGGAAAAGGACCCATTGAGCTCACCACACCCACAAACCATTTCACTCAAGACTGCAGCCTCCTGAGGCTGCACTCCAAAAAGGAAGAAAAATATTGGAAGACAGTTGTGATAGCTGCATCTGTCACATAACATCTCAGCTAGCCCTAAGCCAGATCTGTTTGTTTGGGTGTTTGCAAGTCTAGAAGTTTTATAGGGCATTCCTTCAGTTCCAATGTATTTACTGGGGCTTACTCCCAAATTGCATAGAACTGAAACCTTGCAACTCAATCCTATGCATATTCATTCAGAAGTAGGCCCCACTGTAAGAGTGTATTGAATTTACAAGCATTATTAATTCCTCAACCAATCAGCATGGAGCTTAATAAGAAGGCCCCAATTTTTATCAGCGAAAGCTAAAGAAGTGAAGTTGAGGGCTGAAGACACACTTTGTTGTTTCTGGAGATGTTTGGATGTGCCTTTGTAATATGAAATGATATTAAAGATAATTCAGACCCCATGAATGCATAGCTGAAATTAATAAGCTTTTGCCCCAATGTGCATCACTTTACACTTGTTTACATGGAATTTTGTTTGTCATTTTACTGTCTGCTCAGTTTGGAAAACTCCTTTTGGGGCTCTTTGTAACACCTTTTTGTTTTAACCACCCTGAACAATTTAGTATCAGTATTGTCAGCTTAAAAACTGATTCCCAAATACTAAAACTAATGGATCACAACTCCCAAGTTAGGAAGTAGCATGGTCAGAAAGATTCAAACCGAGAAGAATTCAGTTGGGAACTTGATCTGGGACATGTGTAAACCTAGTGGCATAGTACTATCAGAACTGAAAAGGCGACAACATATTTAAAGTTTGGTACAAGGGTGATAACAAGCAATGTATCGTATTGTCCTCTTTCCTGCAGGTCTACTCCATTAACAGTGTATAAGTTACAAAGGTGTGTCCAAAAGCTTTCCAGCATCTAAAGAGAAATGTGATAAGGCAAATGGCTCTTGATCCTACCTAGCAGCCACCTAGCAGAAACAGGGGAAATGTTGGGAGATTGGCATCAACTATAGGAGGGAACCCTGAACCCTGTCAACACAGTCACAGCTCAGGTACTCAGTGGAAGGGAGAGAGAGAAGCAGATGGCTAAGCAAACAGACTGACAGATATCTCACATGCACTGGTAATGACATTTCAAAAGTGACAAGTCTGGAGAACAGCCAGCAGCTGTGAACAACATGGCTGTAGAAAATCAGGTCCGGGTGCACAGTGGAAGTCCTTTGGTAAATTAGACATGGTAGAATATTTTACAGATAGGTCACAGTCGACCTGTGCTATGCAAGAGCAATTTAACATTGGAATGTTAAGTAGAGGATTTGCTGTGGACACCACCTGATGTGTATACACACAGCCAATAAGACCCTGGACACAGCTCAGTGTCTCTGGGCAAGAAATCAGCTTGCTTTATCTTGCCACACTTTTTGTCTCTGGTATGCTTGTTTCCTTTGCCTGCTTTAACTCATTCCAACTTGGCATGTGAACAAGGAGCCAAGAGGAATATTTGCCAGTGTCACCACTGAATTTGATTTGTTTGCTTGCTGCAACGCCTTCGATGTGTATTTCCTCCCAAGAGTGCATGATCCTTCATATTTCTGCCTGGATTCATTTCTCTCTGTCTGGGATTAGAAAAATCCAAGCCTTTCCTAAAAGCCATGTTTTATTAGTCATTCTGTGTTGTGTGTTTACTAAAACGAACTGATGAAAATCTTACAGTATGCAAGACATGCAAGGTTTGTGATGCTTTGAATCGCCTCACTCTGACCCAATTTGCTGGAATCACAGTGCAACATAATTTCAGAATCTCTTTATTTGGCATTTTCTATGTTTGTTTCCCATAATGCATCAACAACTGGAGCTTGTGTTTAAATTCTTGCATGGTTTCCCAGTCCACACAGTTTGTAATTTTATCTGCTCAACTATGTGCTTTGTGGGTTGTTTATTTTTTTCCATATGATACTCGTGTTCAAACCGAGGTCATGGTTTAGGGTGTGTTAGCAAAGCATTCCATGGATATATTTTCAGATTGGTAAGTGGCTTTCAAAGCATTTTCCCCCTTTCTTTTTATTATTAGCTTCTAACTTGCATTCTGGTCCATGGGGTCATGAAGACACGACTAAACGACTAAACAACAACAACACAATATCTGGGGGATCCAGGATCAGAGCTCTCAACTTATTTTCCTAAAATGCATCAATGGGTGAAAAGTCAACCACAAGGGAGGGTCTTTGATCCTGTTCTCTTGCACTGATGAAGCAAAGCACACACTCTGGCATAAGACACAGAGGAGATACTCATGAGAGTATTATGAATTGCCTTGCTGAATCAATACAACATACAACTAGTTCAGCAATGTCTTCTGACTGGCTGCTTGTACAATGGATGGGGAACCTGTGGCCCTCCAAATGTTGGACTCCCAACTCCCATCAGCCCCAACCAGCATAGCTAGTTGTCAGTGATGGTGAGAGCTGAAGTCCAACAGCATCTGGAAGGTGGCAGATTCTGCATCCTTGCTGTGTAAATTCACAAGTAAGGCATGAAGGTGATCATAGAATTGTAGAGTTGGAAGAGACCCTGAGGGTCATCAAGACCAACGCCCTGCAGTGCAGGAATCTCAACTAAAGCAGCCATGACATCAAAACATAGACCCACAACATCTAGCAATTTGAAGTGTACTGCTTCTGAGCATTGTATGTCTACTGCCTCTTCACCCCATTTCCATGTATATACAGGGTCAACCACCCATCTCACAGGACCCATGCAGTGTCCACTCAAAGGCAAGGCATGTAGGCTGGGCCAAACACTAATAGGATCATGATCTCCAAAAGCAAATTATTGTCATTCCAGAAGTAGATGGGATGCAAGCAGTCAACTATAGCTCCAAATGAGTAGACTACAGATATGTCATTGGGAAGACCCACATACATAACAACGCAGGTTTGTACAAAGTGGTTCTCCCAAGTTGTGCGGTCTGCAACTACATAGGTGTAAGCAGTCATGATTTCACAGTCCCACCTCCAAAAGGTTTGGCCAGTGGAAGCTATTGTAAAACACATGGTTAGCCAATGCATCTGACACACACACACACACACACACACACACACACACACACACCATAAAGTGCACATGAGTTACAAATTCATAAGTTGGCACATACCAACCTTGATGGAGCCATACAATCTCCACTGCTGCCACCACCACACCCATGAAAATTTGTGCCCTGTTTATGGCAGGGTAACCAAGCACAGATTCGGCAGAACTCTGGGTTGTAGGTGGCTATGATAGGACACTATTACTCACAAAGCCTCTGCATGGTCCTTTGTGCATATGCACATGTGCTTCCTCACATGGAAAGGCTGTGCTAGAATTTAGCCAGTTACATTTTTTTCAATGAGTTATCTGGCCTTTGCTATTGGACTGAACACTTCATTTCTGCATCCTTTTCCCCTTTAGATGCTTCTTTCTCTAAACCAGGGGTCACCAACCTTGTTCCAGTGAATGCTTTCACTGCTGACACAGGGCAGGTGCCCCAGACTTTGACTTTTGTTTTTTAAAACAACAACAACAAACCTCTAGTCCTCCTAAGTAGGAAGTTACAGGGCAAAATGTGTGGGTAGCTTTTAAAAGATTTCTGTGAAATAAGACTGGATGTTGTGAGCCACCTAGTATATTTCTGCAGGAACCCATTGCTATTGAACAGCAAAAGTACCAATGTGTTTGTGGTGTGTATGTGACATCAGTGTGTGATCTCCAGAATCAGGACACAGGTGACTCCCCATGGTAAGCATAAGGTTCTTAGGGGGTGGCTCTCTAATGTTCTGCTATGCCAACAAGAACAAACTTCAATTATTTTGTGGCTGGCACCCCCAGCACTCTCTCAAATTCAAAATGCAAAAGGTTGGTGATCCCTGCTCTAAACCCCTTTACTAAGGACAGCAGCAAAACCCATGGATGTTGCATGTTTGCATATTCCACGCTTACTTAAAACAACCACAACATCCATTTCTGTAACCTATTTTACAAGAGATAAAGCGTACAATATCAAAAGGACAAGGGATGTCAATATCGTGTCAGGTTCAATAGACAATGTTTGGGATTCAAAAAGCTGCTTAGATTCATAGAAGGGGCTTTGTCCTAGCAGAGTTGGCTTATTGGTTTTGGGGTTTTTTAGCAGTCTTGAACCTCATCTCAACTGCAGGCACCTTCCCAACTGTCAGGTGGGATTCATTGGGTGCCTGATAAGGTCAAACACTGACCATTGAACATGCTGGCTGGGGCTGATGGGAGTTGTAGTTCAGTCACTTCTGGAGGACCTGGAGGACAGCTGCATATTCTTGTATGGCAGGGGGTTGGGCTAAGTGATCCTCAAGATCCCTTCCAGCTCCACAATTCTATGATTCTATGACTCAAAATGTGTTTGGAGGTGTTGTTCTGCTTTTATAATATATCTATGGAGTTCTCGCATAGCATACAGTGGTGGTGGTGCTGCTGATGAAACGATAACAGGGTTCCAAAATGGTCCCTGTTTGGTAGAATAAGTTCTCCATTGCGGTGCTGAGAAGTCTGCAATGGTTTTTTATAGATGGAGATGGTTTGCAGTGGTTTTAATTGCTGGCTTTTTGTAGGTGCTTTATCACTCCCTGGTGAGAGGCAGGGAATGACAGAGATTTAATGATTGGTGGGATGGGGGGAGGAATAAGTAAAAGAAACACATAAGAAGTTCCGCTCCCAGCCTGCGCTCCTCTTCCCCGCTGCCAAAGGAGAAAGAGGCGCCGGGGAAGGTGGCGAGGTTGCGCTCGCGCGCGCCTCTTTCGTTGGTGAGCGGCAGCGCCGCCTTCAGAGCGCAGTGTCTCCTTCGCTTTAGGAAGAGGGAGGGAGGAAGAGAGTGAAAGAAAGGCAGGGACGCAAGAGAGAGAGAAGGGGGCTCCCTCCTCCTGTTGCTGCTGCTGCTCGTGGACTTCTCTCTCTTCTTCCGCCCATCCCTCCGCCAGCCAGGATTAGCAACAGCCCCGAGGGCACCCGGAGTTCAGTTTACAGCGCGCGCTTGGCTGGGAGCGCCTCCGAGAGGAGAAGGAATCCGTGCGCCTTCGCCCTCACCGCCTCGCATCCCTCCCCAACCTGCTGCCGTCGTTTCTATTGCTAGAGACGCGCCGAGGCTACTCTCCTCCCTCCTTCTTTCTCTTTCTCTTCTCCGTCTCTCTCTCTCTCTCTCTCTCTTCCCTTCCCGACCATGGATTTATCCCTGAGGTTAATCATTCTGTCCTGGCTCTACCTGGAGGCTTTAGGGGACTTCGACGGAAGGTAAGCGCAGACTTTGGACACTTTGGACACTGGACCGACGGGTGGGCAGATGGATGGGGAGGAGAGGCGAGAGAGACCCAGGGCGGCGGGCGGGCTCAGGCTCCTCTGGGGAACCTGGGGGTCCCAACTTGCCAGCCGGGGAGACTCCTCGTCGTGACACATTCGCCCCACGCTTGGCCGAGAGGTCAGGGCTCTTTCCGGAGTGTACAAGGTACAGATCTGGCGCTTGGCGCGCGCTCGGCATTCGGGGAAAAACACACGCGGCAGACGCACCTGCAAACCCCAACTGCAGAGGGCACAGGAGCATAATCCGTAGAAATAAGGGAAGGGGAGGGTTAGTTTGTTCCCCTTTCCCCCATGCAGCAATTTATTATAAGGACTACAACAATCCTGTAGGGAGGTCAGTGTCTCCTTGTTGCAAATACGGGGCATTGACACACAGAGAGATGGCTTGTTTCACGGAGGAATGAGTCAAATCGGGGACTTCTGTGATGCACAGTTTAGGCTGCAATCTGAAGCCCACTTGCCTGGGAGTAAGATCCGTTGATTTACTTCTGAGTAGACATGGCTAGGATTTCATTGTCAGTGTCACTACAGCAGTTTTCTTGACCTGGGGGGCTGCATTTGTAGGAATGGGTTGTTTTCAATCCGATTTATTTATCAGAGCATATTATTTATAATACTGTAATATTGATTATGTTAAACACAATCTAGGTGTGTTTTATTTGAAAATAACTTCCATTTTTGTTCTCCGGAACTTGCCTTTGAGTAAGTGTGTGCACAATTGAACTCCTAGACTGATTCTTCCTTATGGGCTTTTAACTGTAAGGTCAACTAAAAGGGTGGATTCCTGTTACTTTCTTACAGCAGGTGGCAACGATTTAGTTGGGGGTTCTAATCTGGATTAGGAATTGTACTGCATATGAAACCAAAGGAAAATTGCTCTGGATTAATTGACAGGAAGAAGACAAGGGTGTGTGACAGTCATATCAATGGATGTTGACTGCATTCCATGGATTTCTTTTTCCATGATACTTTTGACACATCTTACAAAAGGGAAACATATCAACAAGAACTTCAGAATAAAGTACATTGATTATTGTGCTGTGTGTGCATTGGCAACCATTTCCCCGTTATTTATGCAGAATTGTGCAGATTGTCAAAATTGAATAGCTGAAACCTGCAAAACTCATTTATGTATATATATTTGCATGGTGCAGAGAAGGGACAGCCCTCAGGTGAATTGTGCAACCAATATCAAGTCTGAGAATATTCATAATACCCCAAGTACTCGTGTGTGTGTGTGTTTTCCAGACATACTTGTGTAGCTGCAAAACAGGTATCTAAAGTAGGAAATAGAAAAGCTGTGAAATCTAGGGTTAGATTGCATTCCCTCATGGAATGTACATACTTCACTTGTGTGGAGATGTGAGATAGACAAGCTTTGACAGGTTTGGGCAACCCAGAGTTCTTTATAACTTTATTACTCAGTTGCTACTTCCATGCAAAATAGCCAATAATCTCTGTGTGATTTATCAGGTAGATCATGGCTATTGTGTATTTTGTATATAAAGCCATCTCAATTTGAAATTTGTGGTGAATTGATGACTGTTACAAAACAGTTTCCTTTTTAGATGCCACGGTGCACGCGGCAGTGGCAAGCAAATTGACTGGGAGGTGTTTGTTTCCAGTGGAATCTGTTTAATGTTCTCTGGTATCCCCCAAGCCAAGGGAAAAAGGCACACCTGGAAATTTGCCTCATTCATTGACTGGAAATGACGAAAGTCTGCAAACTGACACGGTGTCTCTTTCTTAAGGAATTTATGAAGACACCTGGGGATAGTGAGGTGTAGCCAACCCTTTTTGTATATAGTTTGCAGTCAATGTAATGAGCTCCTGTGGCTTTCACAACATCTGAAATTTGCACGTGCAACTGCACCTAATTTGGAGAAGCTTGCACATACCAAGGTACTTTGTATTATTTCTATCCTGCATTTTGAAGCAAGCCATTGTAAGCTGGCTAGCAATAAACATGTTTATAGCAATACAGCAATGATATAAATAGCATGTAATAAAATGACATTGAACTAAATGGAGGGCACCAATAAGATGCTCACGCTGCCCTAAATCTGCCTCTGCCAGAAGAAGAAGAAGAGTTTGGATTTGATATCCCACTTTATCACTACCTGAAGGAGTCTCAAAGCAGCTAACATTCTCCTTTCCCTTCCTCCCCAACTCTGTGAGGTGAGTGGGGCTGAGAGACTTCAGAGAAGTGTGACTAGCCCAAGGTCACCCAGCAGCTGCATGTGGAGGAGCAGAGACGCGAACCCAGTTCACCAGATTACGAGTCTACCACTCTTTACCACTACACCACACTGGCTCACTGCCAGGGGTAGCTCAGTTGTCTTTCATCTTTTTAAGCAGTATGGAGGGTTTTTACCAAAGGTTGCAGATCTGTGTGGTAGAATGATTGACTGGAAATGCTTCTTCCTTTTTTTTTCTTTGTAAAAGAAATACCACAGAACCTAACAACAGTTAAGCCACATGTGCGAATCCACCTTATGCAGTTGTTTTGATTGAGTTCTTTTTATATGTAAAAATGGTAGTTACTTGTGACTAGATTCAGAGGTGTGGAGATGCTTACCCAACTGAATACCCATCCAGTTGAAAGTGATGAAGTGTACATGGATGAAATCTGTAGCTGGATGTGTATCTAGGGGCAGTTCCCTAATACACCTTTGGATGTGCATCTTATTTATGCTCGCAGTTCCTAGTAATACACATTCAGAAACTTATTTTCATGCATGCATGCATTTCTTTACCTGGGTTGGATATTTATGCAGCACTGTCTGCGTTTGAATATAATGTTATATCATGATTTAGTGTTATGTGAAGGAGCCTAGAAGACTTCAACTTTTCTCAGGCTTGCACATTCCCTTCTCTCTCCTCCTCCCGCACAGCTGGGAGGAAAAGTTCAGAAGCATTCATTTCTGCTTTTAATTAACTGCGATTTGTTGTTACATCCTAACTGGTTTTTAACACTCACTGTGGTTTAACAAGCTAGCTCAACTACCCATGGTTTTAAATTGGCTTGTTCGGAAGCCAGCCATAGTTAATGTGGAATGACTATCCTCAGTTCAGATGAAATGACAAACTGTGATTAATTAAAACAGAAAGCAAAAGCTTCTGAACTTCTTATCCCAGCAGTACAGAAAGGGGAGGGAGGAGTGTGAGAGCTCAGATTGAGGCTAGGCTCATTTACGTAGTGCTAAACTGTGGTTTTGCATTGCATTTGAACACAGCCATTGAGTCTCTATTTAGTAAATGTAGCATGAGAACTAATGTAGTAACAGCAATTCCTGCAATTTCTTCTTGCTATGTGCCCAATAATCCATTTTACTTCACGATCATACGGATCTACTGGATGGCTTATTTTTAAAAATCCCATTTAATATACAAATCTTATTTTATAAGCTAAATAAGTCAGAAGTTGATGTCTTGAGCACAGAGTCAGTGAATCAGTATAGCGAGAAGACTGCAGCTCAAGTTTAAACATGAATCTAGATAAGTGAAATGTGAAAATGAGCGCTGAAGAGCTGGAATGTGTGTGTAATTGCTACAGCTATAATATGTCAAAATGTGATGAAAAACTTTGATGCAAATTAGGGAGTAGGTCATGCAGAATGTAGAAAAGACTAAACAGGATCTTGCATGAAAAGGTCCTTCCTTTAACTGTGCTTTTCTCAATTTGTTTAGCAGTTGACATTTATCTCATATGGACACTTCGCTCCAATAAAGTAGGTTTTATTCCTACTTCATTGTGCATTGCAGTGTAGTGTCGGGGTCCACAAATTCCACTTGTTCATGATAGTCAACCCAACATTTGTGGTCACCAGGATTCTATCTCTTCCCCTAGGGTAGTATTTTTATTGGGTTCTTGCACTGCTGTTCTGAAATTCATCATAGTGTTGGGGACAATTCCACACCTCAGTTGCTTCAAACTCGGGAGGAGACCTGGAGATTGTTACAGTTGTGCTGCAATTCCAAGGTGCCACAAGAGCTTCAGAGGTACAAGGCAACCCACAAGAGGCTCAACCACCTCCCACATCTGGAGGATGGGGAAGAAGCAGGGAAAATCATCTTCTGAAGTTAGAATGTGCTTCAAATGGGTTTGGAGGAGAATAGGAAAGTTACATAGATATATGTATAAGTTTTATCAATGTCGGTCCTAAGATCATAGCCAGGACTTGTACATAGCTGTGGGGATGTCATCAGCTCTCCAGATGTTGCTGAACTACAACTCCCATCATCTTTGCCCATTGACCATAATTGCTAGGGCTGATGGGAGTTGTAGTTCAGCAGCACCAGGAGGACCAAAGGTCCCCTACACCTAGTTTATTACTTTAGTAATATCCCTGTGGGGCATAACAAGTTCCACTGAGCACAGTATCATGAAAGAAAGGGAAGGACCATAGGTTAGTGGTAGATCATCTCTTTTGCATGCAGAAGGTCTCAGTTTTAATCTATGGCATCTCCAGGTAGGACTGGAAGAAACCCTGGAGAACTGCTGTATCCGTGTTCTGACTCGGTATAAGAAATCTTCCTGTGTGATGAGAATGTTTGAGAGCAATGTAAGAGCGGTTGTCCAAGCTAACAAAGACCTGAGTCTCATTGGTGGTGGGTTATACAGAGCCTTCAGAATCCCTCCACCCAAAGCTAAGGGGGTGCTGGAACCATGGCCCATTGCACTGTGACTAGCCATGGTTTCTTGAAAAAACATGGAGCAGAAGAGGCAAGCATAGAAAAAACAACAGAGGGATGGATGGCTATTCACGGTGGGATACAAGGGAATGGGATAGTAAAACCTTCTAAACATTATGGAGGAAGAGGGTAGTTGTTTACAATTCAGACCTTGCGAAGGCTGTCCCATGCAAGTGAGCAGTTCTGTCTGTAGGAGCTCTGAAGAGTTCATGGCACCATTACAACCACCAGGAAATGCTTTGCAATATCTTTGATTTTAGGGCATGTGGCCTAATAACATATGGTAGTTTCCCCATGCTTTGGATTTTGAGAAGCCTCCTTGTCAGGGTAGTTATTGTGTGAATCTGACCTTAAAGGAAAACTAAAAGCATGATAAAGGTATGTTTCTTATGATGCAACACTTAGGAAATGGGTTATGTTGAGCGAAGAAGAGATGATAAAGGAGGGTATTTTAGTTAACCAAAATATCTACATAGAAGCATGAAGAGAGAAAACAAGGGTGCACTCTACCTTTTGAGGACAGGACAAGGAACAGTGGCTTCTGAAAAAGATTTCAGTTGGCAGGAAGATCCATTAATCTTAACCTTTGCAAAACTTTCCTGTATCCTGTCTCACACCTGCATGTGTATCACTGATTCCCCCCCCCCTGCCCACTTGACAGCTGGCAACTGAACGAACATACTGCAATGAAAAATACTGCCTCTGAGTTGAAATGAGAATGATGGAAAGTTCTGTTATGATGCTATATCTGCATAATCATCAAGTGATGGCTGTGATATCAAGTGATGTCTTGCAGATGCACCATCACAAACTTGTGTGTCTGGATACACCCGAATCCTGCTTTAAAGTAATAGGTGTAGTTCAGTGTACTGGAGCGAGTTGTTAAGGAAGACAGCGATTGCCTCCAGTGGAAATTTTCAGTCCAAAGGTTTTAGAGGCCTTTTGTCAAGAATCCTATAAGTATAGAATGTCACTATTGTGTCACAGGGCAGCAGGACTGGGCTAGATGAGCTGCTGGACTCCTTGCAACCATGTGTCCTCATGTTCATTCTTTTCCAAATTTATTTTTGGCGTTGGTGCAGGTGGCCCAGGCAAATACTTTCCACGACTGGATTGTGCCGTTTTGGAAGCAGAGTCGACTGCTGCTGGGGCTGGGCTCGTCACTCATGGGGCCAGTGCCAACGTGAGTATCACCACTGCTGGGGCTTTGAGCCTTTTAAAACAGGGCTTGTTCCTCTCTAATAATGGCTTTCATATAATCACAGACACTCACATGATGCAGGGCTTATAATGTACATGGGGCTTTTGCTTTCACCTAGAGGGACACTGACAGGTTAAGAATCTTACCCATTTTAAACTCCAGATTTCCATATTAACAGTACTGTAAGTTATGGAAATTAAATGCAGCATTAAACCAAATGTATCTTCATTTCATTTTTTTTTTTTACAGCATTACATTTGATGTTGGGGTGTTTTTTGTTTTTGAAAAAGTTTATCTACATAATTTTTGTTTGTAGATTAACATTTTCTGTTCCCAATTTTCCAAAAAAAGGCGGAACTTATTGCAATCATAAGCAGTTTTTAGCTGTATATTTTGTTCTTTAATAACATTTAGAGAAGGTTAAACAAAAACCTTTCAGAAACATCCTTACTGAAGTTAAAGGAAAAAGATTAAAATAAATCCTTCCCAGATTATGCTCTGGTATTTAACCTGACAGTGTCTTGCGGTGGTACATATATTAATAACATTTCTCACTTTCTCATTGCCCTGTCAACTTTATCAACTACAATTTCTGAAAAAGAAGCATTCAGCTAGAAGCTATAGAAGCGATGGGAATACAGAAATGCTGGCTTTCAGTTGAATTGGAGAGCTGACCAAAGTAGCCAGACATAGATTGCCATGTTTTCTGTTGCCTAGTTGCATATTTTTCTATGTTTGCACCAGATTAGACACAATCTCACAATCACAGAATCATAAAATAATCAGAGTTGGAAGCGACCATGGAGGTCAACTCCCTGCTCAAGGCAGAGATTACAGTTCAGGATGCCTACTCGACACCTAGCTACCCTTGGCTTGAATACCTCCAGAAAACAAGAGCCCACTGAGGCAGTCTGTGTCACTCAGGGCCAGGGCCATAACAAGGCAAACTAAGAAGAAATTTGTCTTGTATAGCAGGTGGAGAGGATGGTGATCTGGCACCCTTCTGGCCCTACTTGTGCTCCCAGCCACCCCATTCAGTTCCCGAGCACAATTCAAAGTGTTGGTGCTGACCTTTAAAGCCCTAAATGGCCTCGGCCCAGTATATCTGAAGGAGCGTCTCCACCCCCATCATTCTACCCAGACACTGAGGTCCAGCGCCAAAGGCCTTCTGGTGGTTCCCTCACTGTGAGAAGCCAGGTTACAGGGAACCAGGCAGAGGGCCTTCTCGGTAGTGGCGCCCTCCCTGTGGAACACCCTCCCACCAGATGTCAAAGAGAACAACAACTACCAGACTTTTAGAAGACATCTGAAGGCAGCCCTGTTTAGGGAAGCTTTTAATGTTTGATGTATTACGGTATTTTAATATTTTGTTGGAAGCTGCCCAGAATGGCTGGGGAAACCCAGCCAGATGGGCGGGATATAAATAATAAATTATTATTATTATTACTATTATTAGTGCTGTCCACATTTTCTTCCTCCTTGCTTCATTCTGAGGAATGATGAAGAGGGTTGTTTCTCTGATTGAGGCATTCTGGGCCTGGCAGGTGCCACTGCTGCAGCTAGAAAAAGATGTTTACGATGAGTAACTTTAAACCTTTTTAAAGTTTGAGCAGCATTTACTCAGCTTGTTGCAGTAGCAGTGGCAGCGCAGGCAGTCTCCTAGACATCTCACCCAGAATGCCTTGCTCTGAGGAAGGAGCTCTATGGCTCTTCTTCAGAGTGGGGTAGGGAGGAGGCAAAGTGAAAGGCGGGAAAACTGTCGGTGCTGCTGCCACAATAATGTGGTGGCAAGATGAGTGGCAGTAGGGGGAGAATGGATCATAGGAGGAGGAAGGGTAGTGAGGAAGCAACAGGGATGGGGAAGAGGCAGAGGAAAGGGTGATGGGAGGAAGAGAACCTGGCAGTGCAACCTTTTGCACCAGCCATGTTTCCACTATCTAAGAGCTCTTACTACTAGGAAGCTTCTCCTAGTGTTTATCCTAAATCTGCTTCTCTGCAATTTCTGTCAGTTGGTTCTAGTCCTGCACAAAACGAAGCCTGTGGCAACAATAAAAATGAAAAATTTGGCACGCTGTAGACAATCAACCACAAAGCTTTCTTCACAACTGATAAAGTACATTTCTTCAAGCATCAATCTGTCTTCATTATTGTGATGGAATGCAGTTGGTTGCAGTGTGACATTTCTGCTTCTCTCCTGCCCCAAATTAAGGGCTTTATTGGTTCTGCTGATTGATGCTCCGCAGTTGACAAATCTAATTAGAATTTTACCTCTGTACTCTGAGCACAAATGGGCACAATCCAACCAGAGTTGAACATTTCAGTCTCCCGCTGTTTCTAATGGGAAAGAGTTGCACCTAAGCTTAATTCTCCCATTGAAATAAATCTAAATGAAAAATGCTTAACTTAGTTGGGCAATGAACAATATTTTTTTTCCTTTTTCTTTCTTAAAAAGAACCCTATTTATATAAGTTTGCATCTCAAAACATTTCAAACCATTTAAATGCAAACCTAAAACATCTCAATTTGCAAATATCTTAAAACAAAACAAAGTATCGAGGGAGGAAACTGAAGGAAAGAGCAATTATTGCTATTGATCCCGGGATTTCCTCTTCCTTTGTTTAAGACCCTATGCACCTTCATAATGTATTTGGGAAGGTCCCCCTTCCATTCTCTGGAGCAGATTTTGAGCGTGCTGAGCATGGGTGTAGGCAAGCAGAGGTGGGGGAGCAGCAGCCCCCCATCAAGTAAAACAATAGGAATACTTAACTAACTGACCAATCACATGGGTTCTGTCCTACCTAACAAAAGTCCTGCCCCCCCCGAACAAAATCTTGCCCCCCCCCCAGTCCTGGCTCCCCCCATGGTGCTGAGGATCTGCTGCGGGAAGGAAGTTCCATTGTGCAAGTGGAAGTTTATTCTGCTTGTGTAATAACAGCTTTGGATACATTTCCTAGAAACTCCACTGAAGTTTCACATAAATATGAAAATAATTCACATTTAGTTAGTGATGTAAGGCATGAAAATCATTACTTTACATCAATGTAATAAATGCTGGTCAAATGATTAGGAAGTTGTCAGGAATAGTAGGATCCAGTAATTTCACTTTCATTTGGCATCATTTCTTCTTATCCGCAATAAATAGGTTACCAGGCTATTATTTTCCGAGCCACATTAAATGACATATTCTTTGTTACCCATTTAGCTTCTTTAAAGACAGAAATAAACCAATCTCATCTCTTTTAAGGGGAGAAGGCATGTTTTTATTCAAACAATTCAAGAATACCATTTGTGGATCCCAGGGCAGATAATAGCTAGTGGTTTTGTGTAATTATTTTTAAACATTATTTAAAAATGGTCACTGGAGTCATTCCCTGAAGGAAGAGCAAACAGAATTGCAATGATTAACAGAGAGTTACTTGAGATTTCAGCTAGGTTTTAAGGAAGATGCTATATAAGAAGAGTAGTAATTGTTCTGAAAATGATCCGCACCATCTTTGTAGCTGCTGTTATCACTCTTAATATACAGAACATTTCATTTACTCTTGCATTAACCCTACGAAGGAAATCACCATTAACTACTGGGCAAGTCTGAAAAATGAGTCACCTGCCAAGTTGAATTCAGCCCACTAAAACTATAAGGAGGTTTGTGATATGCTTGACAACATCTCTCCCCAACCCCCAATTTCTGTAGTCTCAGGTGGGCAGCAAAAAAACAGGTTTAGCGAGTCCCTAGTGTGCTCCCATGCATGACTGTGTTCAGCTTAATGGGTCAAAAGTTGTGCAGGCCTGTAGGTGAAAGAGGAGTCACACGGCATCATGGTGGGTGAAGGCAGCAGGATGGAGCTTGTGCATCCCACACTGAGTGGGTGCTGCTTATTTCAGGTGCAATAGGCCCCTATCTGATGAGAGAGATTCACAAGAGGGAGAGCCAATGTGTTCTGCCAACAGTTCACCGAACCTCCATCCTAGGAGTTTGCAAACTCGACAGGTTATGGCAGCAGCACCTGTTCATTCTGCTCTTTGTCTCCAAGAACAGGGGAGACTTGGGGTGGAGGGCAGCAGACCACGGTGCTCTCTGAGCCTAAGGTAGCAGTGCCGATTATCCATTTGGGGGTTTCTTTATGAAGTGTGTGTGTGTTTTTACCTAAAATATAGGTGCTCAGGCAGTGCTGAAAGTAGAACATGCATGCTTATTACAATATAGTTTGTACAGAACACAATGGGTTGTTCTTCCACATGCATTCATTTATTGGGGAAAAAGAAAGAGACACCTAGTGCTCCTCTACCTAACCCCAGCTATTGGTACAGGGATGGAGCCAAGGTCAGATTTGAAAGTTGCAGCAAGAGAAAACGCTTTGCTTGAGGTTGCACAATGACTTCATGCTCAAATACATTTTCAGGAAAAAATTCCTGGGACTTAGCAGGAGCATGATTTACAGAGATCGGTGGATAAAGATCTACACCAGGCATAGGCAAACTCGGTCCTCCAGATGTTTTGGGACTACAACTCCCATCATCCCTAGATAACAGGACCAGTGGTCAGGGATGATAGGAATTATAGTCTCAAAACATCTGGAGGGCAATTTTGCCTATGCCTGATCTACACAACATGTAAAGATAAAGGTAAAGGGGCCCCTGACCATTAGGTCCCGTCGCAGACGACTCTGGGGTTGTGGCGCTCATCTCGCTTTATTGACCGAGGGAGCCGGCGAACAGTTTCCAGGTCATGTGGCCAGCATGTCTAAGCTGCTTCTGGCAAACCAGAGCAGCTCACAGAAACGCCATTTACCTTCCTGCTGGAGCGATACCTATTTATCTACTTGCACTTTGACGTGCTTTCGAACTGCTAGGTTGGCAGGAGCAGGGACTGAGCAATGGGAGCTCACCCCGTCATGGGGATTCGAACTGCTGACCTTCTGATCGGCAAGTCCTAGGCTCTGTGGTTTAACCCACAGCACCACCCGCGTCCTATACACAACATG